ATACTAAATGGCTTCAACAATCATACCACGATCCCATCTGGCACACTCTTTCAGACAAGCAAATGCCTTATGTGGAACTTGTGATGTGTTTCTGCACAAACTGCGCACTGGAGAGAAAGGACTTGGAAAGTCAGAAGTGAACTTCATTACAAGGGGTCATCGATCTATAACTGGAAGAATTTTGCAGACGAAAACTTCGACATGAAGCATATCGGTCTATGCATCCTATCTATGGCTAACACAGGTGATCACACCAACGAATTTGCTTTTTCATTTTGTTTAACGAGGCATGTTGATGGCGAGGCATCTCAATGGCGATAATGTTGTGTTTGGTAAAGTTGTTTCCGGAGTGGATGTTCTTACGAAAATTGACAAAGTTGGAATTGAGACTAGAACGCGGCACGCCCACCAAAACAGTTGTGATTAATGATTGTGGCCACCCAATAGTGAGAAAAAGTACAAATCGATTGTGTTGGAAAATGGACTGACTGCCTTACTTGTTTCTGATATGTCCATTAAGTTGACAGATGATCGAGCAGCTGTATCGATGACAATCAAAGTGGGTCATTTCCTTGATCCTCCAAAAGCACAAGGTTTATGCCATTTACTTGGTTCGTTGAACTACTTTTTGTCAGCTTTCTTTGGGCTTGTGTCTAGTGACATCCTCCAGAACGAGTTACGGATCTATACTTGTTATTTGACTATGGTTTATGCATAGCACATGCTTTTCTTAGGTTCCACGACATTCCCTGAAAAGAACGATGTAAGATTTTTGGCTGTCAATGACGGGATCAAACTGTTCAGATTCTTATTTAACCTGAAATAACAAACAAGTAAACACATTAACAAATTAAATTAGAATCTTGAAACTAAAACCATCATCAAAGAATATGTCGTCATAACAAAATTTGATCGATCATTAAATTGATTTCCATCAAAAAGTTTGATCCCGTCTTTCAATTATCTAATCATCTTATCAATTTATCATCCATTCATCATAATTTTCGTCCACAATTGGTAAAGATAGCCAAAACAAAAAACCAAATGATAAACCGCAAAACACTTTTCACAACAATTACAAAAATACTATCATACAAACAATGAAACAAAGACAAAACCAAATTGTTCATATATCTTCTTGCCCGTGAAGAACAAACAAGAAACACAAATATCAAATCCTCCTTATCCCTTATATATTAGTTGGAAAGTGATTTTTTAAAATAGGCTTATGTGTTGTCTCTAGAATGATTTTCACACATTTTATTATGGCATAACATAAATTTAATTATGACATGACACTCACTTAACTAACTTAGTAATTTAATATGCATGTGTGAAAATAAA